AGGCAGGTTTGGACAGCTTTTTCCCTTAATAAATGAAATCATTATTTCAAAACTACATTTTGTATTTACTCAGGATATCTTTGTGTAATATTAAAATGTGTTTGATGATCTGAATCATTCAAGTGTGACAAATATGCAAAAAAAAAAAAAAAACAGGAAGGGGGCAAAAACTTTTTCACATCATTGTATGTGCCATATATCTAGTCACTTATTTCCAAACTTCCTGTGAATTGTACAGCTTATGTAGGAATTTGATGTAGGTAGGATATCTATATTTTAGTATTCACGAGTTCGTCTGCCCATTCAGACCTGCTAGATAATGGTAAACGAACTTGGCTTGCTGTCCTCAAAGGAGGCTCAAACCCGAGACACGGCTTGAGTTTTGAGTTAGAATCCCCCCTATGATTATATGGTTTGAAGGACAACTGAATGAAATTGAGGAGGAGAAGGGGAGGCAGAGGGATGCCGGAAGAATTGTCGCTGGGACGGCACAATGACTGCTACTTATACACACTTGTAGTGATGATTGACAGGACTGAATGTTTAGGCTCCTCCCAAACCTACGTTTGGAACTTCATATAGTGGTCATCAGGTGTGTACGTGAAGCAAATATTTACTCTCAAAATTAAAACTACTTTGCTTGACTGAGAACCAGTCCATTTTCAGCTCCAATTTGCTGTATCCCTATAGATTTACAAGCTTTAATTAAACGATCAGATATCTACATAACATGATTGGGATTGATAGGAAAAAGTTTTGAAGGAAAAAAATAAAATAAATCTATATATTTTTTTTTTATTCTTGCCAGTTTCGAAACATATATTTAGTTATTTATTTTTTAACTAATTAATTTGCTTGAAATTATGGAACACAAAAATAACATATAGCCTATACCTGCTTGCGATAATTACAATATTGGTAGAAAGTCATCTACAAAGATGCTGAGTGTGGACCCAGTGAAGCAATGTCTGCTGATCAATAATCAAAACATGCACTGATGTTTTTTTTACTACTTTGCTTGACTGAGAACCAGTCCATTTTCAGTTCCAATTTTTGCTACAATTTGCTGTATCCCTATAGATTTACAAGCTTTAATTAAACGATCAGATATCTACATAACATGATTGGGATTGATAGGAAAAAGTTTTGAAGGAAAAAAATAAAATAAATCTATATATTTTTTTTTTATTCTTGCCAGTTTCGAAACATATATTTAGTTATTTATTTTTTAACTAATTAATTTGCTTGAAATTATGGAACACAAAAATAACATATAGCCTATACCTGCTTGCGATAATTACAATATTGGTAGAAAGTCATCTACAAAGATGCTGAGTGTGGACCCAGTGAAGCAATGTCTGCTGATCAATAATCAAAACATGCACTGATGTTTTTTTTCTTTTCTTTCTTTTTATCTCCTGAAAATAAAAGAGTGTCTCCAACAGCAGAATGTCATCCTTTCCACAAGGTTGGCCATTTTCCGATTTAAGGTTTGCTTTCACGTTTCCATTTTTCTTCCATTTGATATGTTTAGTTGTAGAAAAAAAGAAGCTGCAGGCGCAGTCGAAGAAAAGGGATCTTATCAAAGGACTCAGCTCCTTAAGAACAGTGCCAGGGGAAGAGGGGGAATTATGGATTTGATTCTTGTTGCATCGTCTTCAGAGAGTTTGAGGTCTTGTGCTTTGTGGAAGGCCTTGTGCTGAGAGTCATCTCGTCAACTGCCACCCTGATATCTGCAGCAAGAGAAAATAAGGAGAGTAAAAAGAAGGAAGAAGAGAGGAAGAGACATAGATGAGTAATTGTTTGTGTGTGGGACACAGGAGACACTCTATGAAGTGAGATTGCCAGTGATGTAAAATGAGTCATGGCTGTTTAGCTTTCCGTTTGTTCAGAAAAAAAACAAAATTAGGGTAACCACCCTGTGAGTGTGAGTGGGCCATCATCCACACCAAGATTAGGAGTGACAGCGGTCACCGCTTGGTGTAACACCATTTTCAGATTCAATTAAATCCACACCACTGGAGAACACTCATCAGCATTGTGATTAATAGAGTAAAAAGAAGGAAGAAGAGAGGAAGAGACATAGATGAGTAATTGTTTGTGTGTGGGACACAGGAGACACTCTATGAAGTGAGATTGACAGTGATGTAAAATGAGTCATGGCTGTTTAGCTTTCCGTTTGTTCAGAAAAAAAACAAAATTAGGGTAACCACCCTGTGAGTGCGAGTGGGCCATCATCCACACCAAGATTAGGAGTGCCAGCGGTCACCGCTTGGTATAACACCATTTTCAGATTCAATTAAATCCACACCACTGGAGAACACTCATCAGCATTGTGATTAATGGCCACTTCCTAAAATACTTCACAAACACCTCTCAAACAATCACCATTGAGCTTAACCACTGTGAACCCCAAAAGCAATCTACACATGCATTATAATATTATTTTCAACATTATGTCCTACAAAACATCTTTGTATTCATCCATTTAATATGGTACAATATTTTCTGGCATTTCTATTCTAATTTAAGTGTTTTAACTTGTATTTCTTGATTAGTAATGGTCCAAAAACCCAATGAACTTATCACTACAGGATGTAACTTTAGCATCAGTTTTAGTTGGTTGGCGGATATTTCTTTCTGATATTGAATCATGTTCAAAATAAATCATACTGATTGAAAGTATCCAAAATTAACACTAAAAATCGAACACAGTGCCATTGGTGTCGCTTAGTAAACAAAGAAGATGAGCAAAAAATGTTTATAGTGTGTTTGGCCCATTCTCAATTTACCATCCATTGGCAGATTCAGACCCTTAATTGAATGAAATGTATACGATTAGTCCAGTTTATCTTACCATTAGGCAATTTTAATAAATAAATAAATAAATAAATATATAAACAAACTGTGTATTTATATATTGAACAGAGTGCTAGTTTTGAAGCATAACTGCCACTAGTAGTTCAGAACAGTATTACAGTCTAAACACTGTATGCATGTGGGTGGGCCATTAAGCAAAAACTCTTATTTTTGCTCGGCATGTACAGTAACTGCTTCTTTAAGAAAACAAGCTTTCTGTGTACAAAAAAGTCCCATATGAATCAATCAAGTTTGATTGATATGAATCAATCAAGTTCACACCGGTTTGTTAATCTCCTGTCTGGTTTGAACAGCCCCACAGTATAAAAATCACCATCTGCTATATACACAGGGGTGCATGAGGGTGAATGAAATGTCACAGTTCCCTATCTGTCGGTCACTACGAGTTATGTCGTGACAACATTAGGGGATTCACTTGGGAGCCCCAATCATCTCTGACTTTAAGAGAAAACGCCAATGAAATTTGGCTAGTGGATTTTGCATACCTGAGCCACTCCCCGTGCATACGGGTATAAATAGGCGACAGTTGCATTCACTCCTTAGATTTTTGCTTTGGAGCCAAGTGGATGAACGTGCTTGATCTCCACAAATCCCATTTAATCTCTGGAACTGTTCTGGTTGGCGTTACAGTGTGAACAGCGGTGTCCCTGTCTGCAGTGATTCCCCTGGGCACTTCAACTGAAAGAACAAATTTCCTAAAAATGCAAATCACGGACGGCTCGCGTCTTTTTAAAGATGCCGTTCCGTCCGTGTCCTCTTGGTTGTTTTCGTTACCTGTCTTCTGAGGACGAACACGATCGTTGTGTAGCGAATCAGCTCATGGGGAAATATGAATAATTAATCATAACTAGTTATAATTAATTATAAATATTTAGATCCGCTGTAGATATTTACTTGACCTCTCAGGGTCAACTGTCTGTCAATTCTAAGAACGTTAATTTCCTGGTTAAGGGAAATAACTTTCTTACTGTACAACTCTACACAGAGCCTGTAGCATAAATCTGCAGTTATGAGCAAACAATGACCAACGTCAAGTGTGATACAAGTAAGACTTTATTAACTACATAAACACTTAAACGAGTCTAACATACTACATAAACACTTAAACTAGTCCACACGCATACAGTTGGTATAGGAAAGGGTTAAAGCTTAAGCAGTAAAGAGGAGAGAAATAAGGAATGAAGTTATGGAACCATTTGCATATTCAGCAGATCTACACCTAAGGGAAGGGTTGGTTCATATGAGACCACTTCAGCACTGGTTACACTCCCGAGTCCCGAGATGGGCATGGCGCCGCGGTACATATCGTGTGACCATCACACCAATGTGTCGCTGCTCTTTCAGCCCCTGGTCGGACCTTGCTTTTCTACGGGCCGGGGTGCCCTTGGAACAAGTGTCCCGGCATGTTGTTGTCATGACAGATGCCTCCAGTACGGGCTGGGGCGCTACATGCATCGGCCGGCAGCCTCTGGGCTCTGGACAGGGCCCCGACTGCTTTGGCACATCAACTGCCTAGAGATGTTGGCAGTGCAACTGGCCTTGCGGCAGTTCTGGCCACTGCTGCTAGGCAAGCATGTGTTGGTCTGCACGGACAACACTGCGGCTGTCTCGTACATCAACCGACAGGGAGGTCTACGATCACGTCGCATGTCACATCTTGCCCGCCATCTCCTCCTCTGGAGTCAGACGCGGCTGAAGTCGCTGCGCGCCATCCACACGCGCCATCCACATTCCGGGGGAGCTCAATCGTGCAGCCAACACGCTCTCACGACAGCTCACATTCCCTGGAGAATGGCGACTCCATCCCGAGACGATACGGCTGATCTGGAGTCGATTCGGGGAAGCCCATGTAGACCTGTTTGCTTCCCACGAGTCCTCCCACTGCCAGCTGTATTACTCCCTGACCGAGGCCCCCCTCGGCACGGACGGGCTGGCACACAGCTGGCCTTGGGCTTTACGCAAGTATGCGTTTCCCCCAGTAAGCCTGCTTGCACAGATACTGTGCAAGGTCAGGGAGGACGAGGAACAGGTCCTGCTGGTTGCGCCATACTGGCCCACCCTGACCTGGTTTCCGGAACTCATGCCCCTTGCGACAGCCCCTCCCTGGTGCATCCCTCTGAGGAAGGACCTCTATTCTCAGGGGCTCGGCACCATGTGGCACCTGTGTCCAGATCTGTGGACTAGAGTGGTCTGTCACAAGCAGTGGTGGACACCATCACTCAGGCTCGAGCTCCCTCGATGAGGCAAGCCTATGCACTGAAGTGGAGTCTGTTCGAAAACTGGTGTTCCTCTCGCCGAGAAGACCCCCGGAGATGCACGACTGGAGTAGTGCTTTCTTTCCTGCAAGAAAGGTTGGAGCGTAGGCTGTCACCCTACACCTTGAAAGTGTATGTGGCTGCTATCGCAGCACATCACGATGCAGTGGACGGCCGGTCCCTGGGAAAGCACGATCTCATCGACAGGTTCCTGAGGGGTGCCAGAAGGTTAAATCCTCCTAGGCCACCCCTGGTGCCCTCCTGGGTCCTCTCTATCGTCCTGGTTGGACTTCAGAGGGGTCCCTTTGAGCCGCTGGATTCAGTCGAACTTAAGTTCCTGTCTGCTAAGACAGCGATCCTGACCGTGCTCACTTCCATCAAGAGAGAGGACCTCCAAGCATTTTCAGTGAGCGAAGAGTGCCTTGTGTTTAGGCTGGACTACTCTCACATTGTCCTGAGACCCCGGCCTGGATACGTGCCAAAGGTTGCCACCACACCTTTTCACGATCAGGTGGTGAACCTGCAAGCACTGCCCTCGGAGGAGGCAGACCCAGCCTTGGCGTTTGCTGTGTTCCGTAAGAGTGCTGCGCATATACGTGAACCACACCCGGAGTTTTAGAAGCTCTGAGCATCTCTTTGTCTGCTACGGAGGTCATCAGAAAGGAAAGGCTGTCTCCAAGCAGAGGTTGGCCCACTGGATAGTGGATGCCATCGCCTTGGCGTACCAATCCCAAGGCGAGCCGTGCCCCCCTGGGGGCGAGGGCTCACTCCACACGGAGTGTTGCCTCCTCCTATGCGTTGGCGCACGATGCCTCTCTGGCAGACATCTGTAGAGCTGCGGGCTAGGCGACACCGAACACCTTCGTGAGATTTTACAGTCTCTGCGTTGAGCCAGTTTCTTCCCGTGTGTTGGGTAACAGGTAGGCATGGCCGGTGTCATGCTTGCTGCGCCATTTCCCCTCACCCAGGGATGCCAGCGCCTTTTTCCTCCTCCAGTAAGTTCCCCGGACGGCAAACCCTGGTCGAGTATCCTCCAGCACCCCCGGCAGTCAGAATGGACGGAGCAGTCTGGCGCCAGGCCCAGTATTGGTATTAGCTTGCCCGGATCTCTGGCCAGCCCCTGTATTGGGCTAGGTGTCCATATGGTTTGATTCCCTGTGGGCAATCCCATATGTGTATTCTTCCATGGTAAGGTTCCCCTCTCGGTGAGCCCGTGTCTTCCCTTTGACAGATCATTCTGTCAGTCTCTGCTGGCAGTCATTCCATCCCTACTCTCAGGTAGGACCTGCCTCAGAGACCCATTCCATATGTAGTACTGCCCCAGGCCTGGGTCAGTTCATTTAGTGTCTCCACATGATACCTCCATGCGGGTAGGATTTGGCCTCCGCTTCCCCACCGTTACTGCCGAGCTGTAACAACAAATAGGAAAGACTTGAAGCAAATCTTTCATTGAAGGTCGAAATCCCTTTGTCCCCATGCCACAACCTAGAACCAGCCTGGCTGGTGGCCAGGGACAAGTTCTCGGCTCCTCTGCGTAAAACCTGAAGAGTGGATGCACCTGTCGCCTATTTATACCCGTATGCACGGGGAGTGGCTCA